TTAGGGCATTGAGGCGTCAGTTGTACGGATTAGGTGACAGATGCTGGTGGCTCAAGTTGGGCTATTAGGATGGAGAAAACTATAACAGATACAATTGAAATGTCTTAGTGATTGATTGGGATATAAGGGAAAGGGGAGTTGGAGAGGGATTTCTGACTTAGGCAAATGAACAGTGGTATGGCAATTACTAAGAGAAAAGAGAGGAAAAGATGCAGGATTGTGGGGTTTCTTTTTTTGATTTATGCTTTGCTGATTTTCAAGGAAACAACAAGCACTAAATATATGAGATCTACACAAAATACATGAAAATACCCAAACTTTTCATAAATAGAACTATTCTGTTATTGTTTTAGATGATGTTATTCTTTTCTTATTATTATAGCTTAGGCAACATGGTTATAATGGTGTTAAAGTTTATGTTAAAGTACAAAGCCATTGCACCTCACCACCAACAAACTGCCAAAGAACCTCTAACACTGTGCTTATATTACTACTAGTATAATTTTTCGTTTCCTCCCATTTCCTACCCCACACTGTTTGGAAGCCTCAGTTCCTTCATGACAAGTTGATTTTCTGTGACTGAAAGACTTTCAAACTGAGTTCTCAGATAAGAAATAAAATAAATAGGTCTAGAGGGAAAGATCTGATTTAGATGTTAGTGATACACTAAAGAATGTTGTAATGGCCCCTGCCAAAATAGAACAATCTCCACACTGTCTCCTATATGAATACTTTTTTTGTAGCATTTTCAGTGGTTTTCCATAACAGACAGCACAAAATATATCATTTCGGTTGTGCTTTGGGAAAGGGATTGGGGCTTGGAATAGAAACATTCCAAATTTAGTGGTGGGAAGGTGTAATGGTGGTGGGATTGGTGTTTTAATATTTACTGTAATCGAATATTATAAACCGCCTTATAAAATAATTTTGAATATATATATACGTATATATATGTACTTATATATACATTTGGGCTGGAGCCATAGCACAGCAGGTAGGGTGTTTGCCTTATATGCGGCCAACCCAGATTCAATTCCTCCATCCCTCTCGGAGAGCCCGGCAAGCTACCGAGAGTATCCTGCCCACACAGCAGAGCCTGGCATATTGAATATACTTGTGGCATATTCAATATGCCAAAAACAGTAACAACAAATCTCACAATGAAGACGATACTGGTGCCCGCTCAAACAAGTCAATGAACAATGGAACTACAGTGCTACAGTGCTACAGATACATATTTATAGTACAACAGTTTATATCATTTGAAGTCATCAAATAGAGAAAAGTGCACACATTCAACAATCTTAGAAACCAAAAATTTATACATAAGAGTAAATTAATAGAATAAATAAGAACAAAATCATTAGATCATATGATCATAAAATTTATGACATTAGAATAATTTAAGAAGAAGCAGTCAAAATTACCAAGCTCAAAAGAAAGGGTGAACTATTATAGATGTACTAGAAAGCATTTTAGTACATGTTTTGAATTATTAGAATCTCAACTCCATTTTCTGTTATGCAAGGAAATTGCTAGCATGTGTTTCCAATAAAACTTCTTTCAGGACATATATATAATATATCTGTATATACATATTATATATTTTATATATTTTATTATATATTTTATATATAATAAAATAAAATTATGTAAATATCCAAAATAAACTGAACATAACATTATGTACTGATGAAAATGCTACAGAACTTGTAGAGAGCAAAGTAGATCTATAAGGGAAAATCTAAAAGGAATTGTGGGCTAGGCACATTGTATAGAGGTTAAGGACTTCTCCTGAAAATGGCCCATACTCATTTAATCCCTGGCATCACATATGGTTTCCTGTGCTCCACCAGAAGTGATTCCTCAGCAAAAAGTCAGGAGCAAGCCCTGAGAATGTCCAGTAATAATTGGCATAATTGTGACCCCCGCTTATAATAAAAAAGAGAAATATTTAAAACAAAATTTATAAAACTATAAAATAATATATATAATGGTAGCCCTATTTATATATCAAATTTATAATAAGTTATTGAGAATGTTTAGAAGAGTATAAATCTTGATTCAAATGGTTTATTCTATGATGAAAAAATCTGGAACTTATTTGGGTTTGTAGTCAAAAACTCTTTTTCCTTAGATTTGCATTACCTGAATTTACAATAAAAATACTGCAAATATAATATTTGTACCAAAGAACACATTTTATTTAGGTTTTAATAATAATCACAGGTTTAGAGGAATAAACAAAATTTGTATTACATTGAATGAGACAAATAGGAGAAATAGAAGTATATAAATAACATATGGAATTTAGAAAATTCAAAGATTAGTAATAGCCAAAAAAATAAAGGAAAGGTATTTCATGATACGGAGAAGAAAAATTATATCCTCAGAAGCTTGGTTGCTTTTCTCAGTGCTAAATAAGAGGTCACAAATGTAATAAAACATAATATGATTTAATGTTCCTGTAAGGTATAAAGTATTAATACTAGCATGGCCAGAATAAGAGGTATAGCTAAGAAATGAGACAAAATGCTTGAGAAAGAAGACTTAGAGCAGAATCCATGTAACATCTCAAAAGTAGTAACTCGGGAATTAGAAAGGAAAGACAATAAAGAATTTTTAAAAATATTTTAGGGTTAAGCTAAATCACTGAAAGCATACAGAGTCTAACTACCAAATCAGAAAAGTGTATAAAAACCCTTTGGTTAGTGCTATCAGTAAGCATACTAATGAACTGATACAGAATCTGTTAAAAGAACAAGACCATGTTTTATTATTGGTTGTAATACAAGACTATGCCATATGTTCATTTCTTTATTGTCAATTAAAGCGGCAAATAAAATTTTATATTCTTCAGATGAATGTCGTGATAATTTTTATTTTTAATTTTTGGGAATGGTACACAGCCTATTTGTAGAAGTTCCTATCAAATGTAGGGCTCCTTTACAATAAAAATATACTTATAAGTGGGTGAGAGAGATAGTGTGGGGCTTATGGCAGTTGCCTTGTAGGCTGCCCAACAAATCCCTGGCATTACACAGGGTCCCAAGCACAGTCAGGAGTGAGTTATGACCACAGGGCCAGGAGAAAGCCCTGAGCACAAACAAACAAAAAATAACAAAACCCAAAAGTATTCATAAGTATAAAAGGAAGAATGAAAGTTAGACATAAAGCATTGTCAGAGTATATATAAGCTGCCACATATTCTCAATCTACATACAAGAAATCCTGAATGGTAAGGCACGATTTAACAATATACATTCAAATTTTAATGTTAGTCAATGTGTGTTACTATACTGTCCATGATAAGGTTTTATGCATACGATGTTCCAATAAAACACCCACTGGTATCCTGTTTCCCTCCATCATTTCTCAGGGTTTCCACCTCAAACCTTCCTCCGCTGCTACCGCACTCTGCACTCTATTCCCCGTATCCACGCCATGGAAAATTCAGTTCTGTAGACAAGTTCTCAGATTCTGTTTTGATTTAAATGAATTTCAACAGAATTTTGAGAATTGTGAGTAAACATATTTCAAATGTCCCAGGAGTTTTTATTCAGCATTAAACTAAACTAAATTAGTATAGGGTACAAGTAAAAACCACTTTTGAAACCAGGACAGGATGTCCCCAAATGCCTCTGTATTAATGAAAATATAATATCTCTTTGTGGTGATAAATGATAACAAAGAGCTACAACTACCTAGGAGACTGAGTCACTTAGACCAGAATTCTCCAACGTTTCACACCTGCAGACTGCCACCCGTCCTGTGTACTGATCCTCAGACCAGGAAGGGGATAGAACAATGGTTTTCAACCTTTGGACACCCAGGCACAGATTCACAAACAGGAGGCTAAAGAAACTGACCCCCCCACACACACACACACATAAAAAGCATACACAGATATGAAATTGCATTGCCTAAGACCCCTTTAAAAAGGGCTGCTCAGATTCTGGTGAAAGAAAGCATAGGATGATGGAATCCGGTAGTGGGATAATAGGTTTCCAAACATATAGCATAATGACCCATTTTCAGAAAAAAAAAAAAAGATGAATACTTACAACACCGACCTCCCCAATTTATGTCCTTAAAGCAAGGACATAAAAAGCACTTCCCAATTGTAACTTAGCCTATTATGATGAGCCCTGGGTCATCAACTGTTCCTCCCCACCACACCAGGGATGCCACTGCCCACTACAGAAAACACAGATAGGCAAAGTGGTACAGTGTTGTTCATGAAACCCTATTGCCAACAATACTGTAAACCACCATGCCAAAGTTATATTTTAAAAAAAAAAGGGGCTTTCTTTTAGAGGTAAAGACAGGAGGTGTGGGGAGAGGGCTGCAGTTGGTGGAGGGATGTGAACACTGGTGAAGAGATTGATGTTGAAACATTGTATGCCTGGAAACCCAATTATGAATAACTTAGTAATTCTGTCACTGTCCTCCTGTTGTTCATTGACTTTCTCGAGCGGGCCCAGTAACGTCTCCATCATGAGACTTTGTTGAATATTGAATATTGAACACGTCACGTGGAGCTTGCCGGGTTGCCCTGCGGGCGAGATTTGCCGGGCTCTCCAGAGGGGTGGAGGAATCAAACTCAGTTTGGTTATGTTGGCTGCGTGCAAGGCAAATACTCTACCCGCTGTGCTATCGCTCCAGCCATCGCTCCACCATGAACTTAGTAATTCATGGTGACTAAATAAAATGGAAACGTTTTTAAAGGAAATGTGATTAAAAATAATTAAGGATTAGAACTACATATCATTGAAGGCCAGTGGCAAAGGGGCAGCATCATAAAAGCTGAAAGGAAAATGGGGGATAATTTCTAAGATGGGAAGATATTACTGATACCCGCATAGGAAACTGCATGTGAGAACTTTCTTATGTCATGTTACTTAATATCTACTAAAGTCTGTAATTATTAACGTATACTTAATCATGCCTTTTCCAACTAAAATTAAAACTCAAATACAATTTTATATTGGACAACTTACCTTAAGAGTTCTACCTGCAGAACAGGCAAATTCCTCCTCTGGCTTATTCTATAAGCAGCCTTCTGAGAATCAGACGAGAACAACCAACTTCTATCATTTGAACACGGAGCATCAACTAACACCTAGAAGAAAAGGCATAAAATGTAAATTATGAACAAAATACATTCTTAGATGCAAAGAATAAAACAATGAAAAATGACAAAAATAGCAAGAAATGAAAACTTTCATTAACATTTATTATAAAACCAAAACATAGTTAACTCTTCTCCATGAAATCTCTTCACTATTTTTTCAAAAAAATGTTACTTTTAATGCCTGGTTTTCATTTCTTTTATACCCTTATTTTTTGAGAAAGGAAGAATGGGAGGATGAGGAGATGACTAAAAGTCGTATAGTATTTCATACTATGATGACTACAACATCATATTTTATACAGATATGAATTTTAAACATATCTTCCTTTCTTTTCTGAATTCTCAGAATTTATTTTTAAGAGAAACATTTCAATTTCAGTTTCTTGAAATTTTCTCCTTTATTTCAACCACCATTTTCTGAAATGTTGGTTGAAATGTTACCAAGTTACAGCACTGCATTGCACATGTTAGTCTATTGACCCAAAAACTAATGGATCTTTTCCTGAGTATCTGTGAAGTACCTGGAAATAAAGACCATTCTATAATAACAATCACATTGGTACCACTTCCTTTGAACCATGCAGACCAACAAATGAAAACTGCTTCCATGTTCACTTCATCAAAATTTCCCAGGGTACTGAAAAATTGTGTCAGGCTAAGTATGGAAGCAGATGGAAAACAAACACAAAACAAAATGTTAATGGGATCATTGGGAGCCTACCAGTCTGTCACAATGCAATAAAAAGTACCTTGTCAAATGTTTCTGGATGAACATCTCCCATTTCTCTGCCATCCAATTCAGACACTTTAATTACATCTATCAAAGGTTGTGGGATGAAAGATTCTAAGGTCTGTCTCAACCACCTCAATCTCAGACTGTTGTATTCATTACAATGAAGAAAACCTAAATATAAAAAATTTAAGTCTTTAAGTAAATACAAATAAAACATTAAATTTCCCTTTTAATTAATTTCAGAAAATAAATCTATCATAATCATGTAGAAATAGGACGCAAAAGGAAATGTTATATAATTATTATATCATAATTATTATAATCATATAATTATTATAATCATAATTATTCTATGATATTTAAAACAAGATACATACAAACAAAACAAAAAACAAATCATGCTCCTCAGATGTTCTCACCATTTACTTATATAAACAAATTTAATCTTGGAGGTGAAAACCTCTACACAATGATAAATTATGAAGAAAATGGCACTTATAACCTAAGACTTCAGATATAGTTTTTCCTTTATAACTCTCTGCAAGAGTATAATAATAACTGGATTTTTTTCCTAGCCTTATTATGTTTTAGAAGACTTTTTCATGCGGTGAAATACTAACAAAACTATGAGGTAGGTGTCATTATTATTTGTATCATACTAATGAAGGAAACTGAGGCTAAGAGTAATTTGGCAATGTTCACATAGTAAGAAACCCAGATAACTTGGCTCCGAACCTAAAATACTATTAAGTACCATGCTATATTGCTTCTCAATTAAGAAAGCTTTCAGCAAATGGTTCTGTCACTGGTAAAAATGTTGCCTTGGTTGCCCTTGATATATTTAAGTATATATGCATATATTCATTAATATGTATACATGTTTACTAAATGATAGCATAAATTATCTGTGGTGTGAGATTAATCAAATGAGTTTATTTTGTGTAATATATTTAATTCAAATTAAACATACAAAAATTTTAATTGTTCATAAGGCCACTTCCTCTTCACAAAAATTATTTCAATATATAACCATCTCCCCAAACTTTTAGTTACCTAAAATACTTTTCTCCAAAATTACTTCACCTCAACTCCCTGATTTTTTTTTTAATTCCTACGTTTTAGTAATAAAATTTATATTGAATGGCACTATTACATTTTTTCTGCCACCCTCAGAAAGCATAATGAATTTATCACAGTTGCTTCTGATTCAAAATTTGGATCGGTTTTTCCTTCCTTTTTTTATCAGTAACTCAAGTCAACTTCCTACACCATCAAAAATGAGATTATTTTTTTAAAAAAAGAGATATTTTAAATGCAGAAACTATCAAGGAATAACATTAAAATTACTTAAAAGCTACTGTCTTGTTTTCACCCCTGTTCTTATTGCAGCACTATTCACAATTCACAATACACAAAAACCTGCAAACAACTCAGAACAGATGACTAGATAAATAAACTGTGGTGTATATACACAATCGGATACTTCTTAGCTATAAGAAAACATGCAATCATGCAATTTGCTATTACATTGATGGAACTGGAGGGTATCATGCCGAGTGAAGTCAACCAGAAGGAGAAAGTCAGATACAGAATGATCTCTTTCATATAAAGAAACATGGTATGAAAATAACAGATAGTCAAAGACAACTAAACTTATCAAGGGCACGGAGGAACCCTGAGTCAATGGGAGTGGGGAAGGGACACTGGTGGAGGAGGTGGCATTGAAATCTTATCATTAACAGAATTCTAAATCACCATGCTTAAAAGAAAAACTTTATTCAGACAACTACCATTTAACATTTTGAAAAATATCATACTATATCCTGTCACTGTCACTGTCACTGTCCTCCCATTGTTCATCGATTTGCTCGAGCGGGGCCTAGTAACATCTCCATTGTGAGACTTGTTGTTACTGTATTTGGCATATCGAATACATCATGGATAGCTTGCCAGGCTTTTGCCGTCCAGGCAAGATACTATATCATTTAATGTATATACCAGCCTATAAATTTCTATTAATAGAATGATATTATTTTGGTGGGATGATTTTTTTCTTTATCCTTCATCTCCCTCCTCTATCAACTGTCAAGCTTCCCTAAAAAAGGAACACAAAATATCATCCTGATTTATCTCCACAAAAATGATGTATGCACAAAATACATATGCATACGTGCACGTAATCTATATCCCTGAGAATTATATTGTATAGATACTCTCCCCCTTGCTCTCTACAAATGCCAATGCTTCAAGAGTACAGTATCAATATAATCCCAAATCAACTGTAGATCTAAATAATATATGACATAGATATATCATTCTTTACCAAACCATTACCTATTATTGGGCATTTATACTATCACCACTAATAAATGCATTCAAAAAACATGTAACATCCTACACGAACAGGAACCACAGTTGCCCTTGATATGTTGATATAACTGTCAGTTGTCAGTCAAAAGAGCAGATTGAAATAATTCTCTTTCGTGGAAGTGATTAAGAGTCCACACAGGTCCATTCAAGTACAAAAATATGAAATTTACATTGGACAAGAGCAGGGGTCCTATTTTACAAGCCTTGTATCCCACAGGAGCTAATCCCCATTCTGACAACTCAACAACCACAGCTTCCAGGGTCCCCACAAGGCGCAAGCCCAGTTATCAGAATTACTGCATTCAGCAAGGCCTAAAACATAGCTTCTCCAACAGCATGCTATTATTTAGTTAATTTTTCTCCCAGCATATATGCAGTTTAACAATAAGGATCATATTTATCATAAGCAAAGCTTCCTATGAACACAATCATAATCTCTGTCAAGCTACCAGGAAAACAAAGGTAGGGAACTAAAGGAAAATTTTAATGTAGAAAGGGAAAACTGACTTCACCCACTCTTTACTCAGACATTATTTGTATGCACATACATGTACACATCTGTATCTACATACATAAATATATATTGGTTTTTCTCATTAATTTCATCGTTACCAACCTCTAATGACTTATCATCCTACACTAAATAAAATTCAAACACCTAACCTTTTACTCAAAGTCTGTAATAGTGAAACTTTAGGACACATTTCAGTTTTAACCTCATACTGTACTTCACTAACAAATGCTGTACTCTCTCCACTGACCAGCAAGGTCATTTCTCAACTATCCCATCATGCTTACCCTTTTCTGCATCTCCTATGAAGTATTCAAGCATGTTGATTACTTTTTGAATAACAGGACTTTAGATGTACATATGAAAGGAGCTCAGAAAATGGCCTCTGGGCCGGAGCGATAGTATAGCCGGTAGGGCGTTTGCCTTGCATGCAGCCAACCCAAGTTCAATTCCCGGCATCCCATATGGTCCCCCAAGCAGTCAGGGGTAATTCCTGAGTGCAGAGCCAGAAGTAACCCCTGAGCATTGCTGGGTGTGACCCAAAAAGAAAAAAAGAAAAAAAATGGCCTCATTTTTGTTAGGGCAGGACAGTGGGAGGGAAAGTTGTACCTTAAACATCTTATCATCTTATTTCACAAATAGCAAAGTTGTACCTTAAACATCTTATCATCTTATTTCACAAATAGCAAAATTTGATTGATGTACATATCTATGTTGGTGGCTTCTGGAGGATTGGTTGAAATACTTTACAGAAGGTATCTGAAACCTCTGGTCTTAATCTGAAATCACTAGGACACAGGAATAGAATGGTTTGTTATGGAAGGTATGCTGTCCTAGGGCAGCACAAGTAAGCTGGAAACGAATGGAAGCAAATCATTTAAGGAGGGAATACAAATACAAGGAGTTTGTAATCAAGGTTGCTCGAGCTATATCTCTCAGGAAATTTCCAAAGTTCTATTTTGTTGGGCCTGGGAAGAAAGGAAGAACAGTTTGCTCCTTTCTGGTTTCTACTTCCCATTCTAAAAGTTAAGGTATATTCCACAAGTCCGTAATTTCCATAAACCTCAGGTCTGTGTCACCTAACTTCAAGTCTTCGACTCCTGGTCTGCAGACCGCTGAATGTCTGCAGATGTAGAAAGATTAAAGATGAATGGTTCATTGCAGTGGCTATAACTGCCAGTCCACAGACAGTATGGCAGACAAGTGCCAGTCCGCAGATGCAAAGAGTTTGAAGAACCCTGACTCGGGCCCTGCATGCAATGCTAAGGAAGCCAGAGAGTCCCAAAAGCAGTTATAGCAAGCACTAAGGTATGCTGATATTTCTCTCTGTGGGCACACATCTGAAGATTCCTTGATTTGTGACAGTGGTTGCAATACCAGTGGACAACAGCCAGAAAAGCAAGAGACTCAGGATTTCTCCAGTCTGGAAACAATTCTGATAGTTCAAGCTCTGAGGGAGGAGTAAGAATAAATAAAAATTATGCCTATAGTATGCTTATATAAATTTAAGCATATATAAACTATATACAAAAATTTAGATCAAGATAAATTCCAAGATATTCACTTCTAACAGCTATAATATACTTCAAAGGAAAAAAAAGTCATAATGATCTTTTGTTCCATTTCTCTTTTTTTAATGATTTAATGATTAAGTTTTATCTATAATTTTAATGAAATTTATAAATTATTTGTAAATTTATATTTTATAAAGGTTGTCATTTTTAAGATTTTTTTAAATGCACATGAAAGAGGAAGCTCTAAATTAAGTCACCCTTTACAAAATTCCTTATAAATAAAAGAATCCTATAATGCTTTATCATCAATTCTTACATTTTCATGAAGCAAAGAAAATCAACAAGAAAATTTTCAGGCTAAGCAAGTACTCCCATGTCAAAAGCTAAATTTAGTGTAAAACTTACCTCCTAGGTTCTCACTGTTTCTTAGATTTCACTACCAACTATATAGAGATCACTGATGTGTTAAAAAAGATGCTCGTCTTTCTTAAATTCACAAAAGATATTTAAAAACTATTTTCAAGGGGGTATGGTGCCGCCAGCAGGTAAATCTGTACCTGTGAGGCAAGTGCATCAGCAGCCTGATGGCACTGTCAGACTTTCAGATACTCCAAAATTGCTGCTGTGCCTTTAGCTGGACCCCAAAAACTTGGGGCAAAGTTTACCAAGAAAGTAAATGGCCAAAAGTTAGGTATGTGGGAGACACACCCATAAAACCCCTCTGGCTCAGCTATATAATTGGAGGCATGGCCTCTCTAGTTCCTGATCAAACTGCT